GTTTATTTAGAACCCAACCACCTCTACAAAAAAAGGTCAAATTATTCCAATGGACATTCATTCCCTTACATTTGTCAACACAATTTCAATTGCCATCATGTTGCCATTCATCCAGCTTTGTTAGGTGGCAATTATTTTCAGTAGCAGGAATACGGAGTCACAACAGTCTTCCTAAAACACTCAGATGTCCCATTGCCACTAAGAGGGTCTTGGCATACATCCTTGCTTGGGGTCAGGAGAAACGTGTACACATTCAATTGCTTGAGTTTCAACAGGACTTTGACACAACTGGGTTAGATGCCTTTGAGAATGCCACTCAGTCTCATAGGAGATGTTTTGGTTTGTAGACAGATCAAGTATGAATTTTTTCATGTAAACACTACAGTGCATCTTGCTCTCTATCCAGAGCCCTGCAGCTGAGATGGTGCTGGTTTTGTTTTGTTAGGGTCCAGATTTTGTTGCTTTAAGGAGAGAATGAGAAACCGAAGGCTTCCATAAGCAGACAATAAACCACGTTTTTCTTTTCAACATTTCATATAGCACGCTACCGAGGCCAAAATATTTGGGTGCAGATTGCCAAACACCACAAAGACCATGCATCTTACTCATTAAACTAACTGAAAGCAGGATGTTTGTGCTGGAAATGCTTGCTTGTTTAAAGGTTTCACACTATAGCCTCTGTGCTCCTTCAGTTCTTATTTGACAATCCAGAATCATTTTTAAAATTCAGGTAAGTATTTATCGAGTGCTTATGCTGCTATGGCACATTAGAAGGATACAAGTTTGGCTATTTGAGATCTCAAACTGCTGCCCTGAAAAACAGTTTCTGAAAACTTGTCCTAAGGCAGTAAAACAAAAATCTTCATGTCAAAATTGGTGAGTTTTCAACATCAGTAATAAATTATAGTGCCATCTTTTACAGTTGCACAAGACATCCCCCTAATGGTTGACATTTGCAATAACACTTGTTATATGATTAACAATCATTACTTCAATACCACTATAAAATTGCTTCACACACTACAGCGTTGCCAACTCTTAAAATCTTATAATTAATCTCACTGTATTTGATGTTTTTCTTAAATCCCAGCTCCTGGATGCATGTGCTAAAGTGAGATGTTCAAACCTTTTAAAATAATCAAAGCTAAGTTCCTAGTCCTCCTGGCTATTGGGAAAATTTTGAAACCATAACCCAACTGCACCTAAAAGACAAACAAAACAAAAATGGCCCAATTTTATGATTTTTAAGCAAGTCTCATGGTTTTTCCACAGCACGACTCATGATTTTTTGCACACCAAAGGTGTCAATATTGCATATATTTAATACAACAATGTTTTTAATGTTGGAATTCATTAACTTAAAATAACGCTTCCTCCAGTTTAAGCTTTGTAGGAGTCTGAAGTGTTTTCACTCTAGAATTTCATGTACGGAAGGTAGCAGTCTTGCTTCTAAATTAGATTCCTATAAGTTAGATGGAAGAGAGCTGCTCGGATAACTTATCTAACCCGCTATGTATGATCAAACGTACCATCGCACACAGTGTCTTCTCCTGGAGGTGGTAAATTATGGATTCTCCCTCAAGATAGATTGGAAAGCAAAGTGGTAGGAGACTGCTGTAATTAAAAGCCATGCCTGTCCTCTTTCAAGGAGTGCTCTGCTATATTGAGTGTCCACCTAGCCCATGGCAAGTCCACCCTGAGTTTACGTTCATTACAACAGAGGTTCCTACCTGTGGTCCAGAGTCCTTGCAACTAGTTGAGTGAGAGCTTACTAATGACAGGGTGTTTGTTTCCAAATGATAAATGGCATTAAAAGCCAAAAATATATTAAATACTTTCCTCCTATGACTTTTCTATGTGCTTGTGGACTTGTCAAAGGCATTTTACATGATTTGCAAAGGGAGACAGGCAGAGAAAAATAGCATTCATACTTTTCCCTGTGCCTATCCCCATCCCACAAGGAAATCTTGTTCTGCTCCTAATGCATAAGTGCAAAAGTCATTTTGCTATTAAAAGAGTTTTTGTTCTCATCCGTCTGCACTGTGAGCCTGAGGCGTTAGGCCCCGGACTGCATAGAGAGTCCACTGCTCCCTGAAGTACAGAGGGCATGATGGAATGTCTTTCACAGTCCCTTATGGGAAGTTGAAACCCCTTTTAGAAGATGAGCACTTCAGAGCCCTGCATCAGTGAAGTTACAGGAAAACATTGCTCATTCATTTTGGAGTAAATTACAGTCCTGCTGCAGGGGCTAACAGCCTCAAGAACCTAAATCATCTTTCCCAGTTCACACAAGTGTTCTCCACTTAAAGCACCTACCAAACCTGTGAGCAGCTTCCTTCCTTATGTTCTATACCCATGTGAAAGCACATCACAGAGCCACAACAGCACCGTCTCAGCATTCACAACATCTGCCGCAAGATTGCAGCTCTCCCATCTCCCCTGCTCCATTGACAATAGGATAACCAACATATATACCTGGGAGGTACATTTTCATGCCACTTTTGCAAAGATGCTGGAATTCATGGTAGAGAGAGACACTGAAGTGTGGCTCCAGCCACAAGAGATGAGTAGCAATTGCACCCTTTCTGATCTGATCCTGATCATATCTGGTACAGAGGAGCAGGGAGAGTGTCATCTCTAGATATTTATGTTGATTCAGAGCAGGACTACGTGGAAGCAAGCCTGAAGGGGGGTGTAGAAGGACAATGCAAAGTTGAAGGTCATGGGCCTGAACAGAGACAGGGAGGAGCTAAATTATATAAGGGTTTGAAGGCCAGAAAAAAGAGCTCAAAATTTGATGCAATGAAGGGACTGGAAAATAAGTTAGGTGGGTAAGGTTTTTTGAGGGAGTTTTTGAGACAGAAGGGGATTCATAAGGAATAGATCAGGACTGCTCAAACTGGGGGGAAGGAGGGTCAGATCCACCCTAGCCTGAGGGTTGTGGTAGCAGCTAGATGGGAGGGAGGTTCTGCTATAGAAAAAGATTGAGAAGGAGCTCAATGGACTAGACTAAAAATCACACAATATTAAAGATCAAATTTCAATCTATGAAACAGTTGTCCCCCTCTGGGACAACACAAATCACAAAACTCAGGATGAAGCATAAGTGAGTTAGAGATAAAGCACTCTCAGGCAAGGAGATCTCACTAGAAATAAAATTCCAGAGATTAGACAGATCCAAAACTAAACTATCCTTTAGGAAACACTCCAAATCCTTCCTCTTTCCACCATAGCAAGTACGTCATTTGCAACACTGACTATTCCATCCTACCAAAGCACACCCCACCCAATGATAAAAACAAAGAAAGAACTTGTAACAAACCAACCAACAAACCAAACAATCATAGGCCAAGCAGAGTTTTTACCCCCAAAAGTGAGGAGAATCAAAGATTCCAGGATGTCAATATTGCTATTGATTTTACATGGAAAATGCTTGGATCCTATAGTGAAGGGTGCTAGTATAAAACCCTAAGATAGAGAGAAGTTAGACTATAGAGGACATTTTTCTTTAAGAATTTGGTGCTGGTAAAAAGACACCTTAAAAAATGAAGTCTGCCCTATATAGAGTAGGTACTGTACAGTGCAGACAGCAGGCGTAAGGCAAGCTTCTCCTTGCAATCACATCAACACTGAGTGGGCAGGGCCATGAAAGATCAGTTTCAATGGCCATTCTATGTAAAAAGCAACATTCTATGTAAGAATTCCAACAAGAACAAACAATGCTAATTGTGGTGGTGGTTTCTAATAATGTGGCTGTTGTCACTTCCCAAGAGAGACCAACTCACTTCATATAATGAATATCAGTACCTATCGGAGGCACACTTGAACCAGTCATCTCGAAATAAAAGGAGGTGGGGATTACGATCCCCATCTGTGAAACGGAAACTGAGGGAGAAAAGCAAAGTGACTTGCCCAAGACTACAAAGACTGTATCAGAGCCAGGATTAGAACTCAAGACTTCCCAATTCCCAAGCCTTTGCCTTCAGAAAGGTTAGATTATGTCCCTAATTAAACAGATAAATCATCCTTGAAGAGCATTGAAAGCATCTTCACACAGAGGACACCACTATTTTGCTTTGCAGTACACTTAAGGGTGCCACTTTCGGTCCAAACTGAACTCAATACTGTTAGTTTCTGATGCAAGACACCACTTTTATCAATAAATATCTGCACAAAGAAATTTGAGAAATTGCACAAAGCAGTTAAATCCATCCTTTCTCCCACAGACATGGCTCTTATAACATATGTCTATGTAAGCCTTCATATTATCCCACACAACCCTATCACTCTTTTCCTACTCCTCCCTTCCATTTTTTGTTACATCTTGTTGAACGCTGTCCTAATAAATACAATTAGAGTTCCCCACCCTTTGTTTCAGACATCATCCCATGTGTCCAGGATTGGTCATTGCTTCCTACTCATAGAGCATGCATGGAAAAGCACTGATAGTTTTCCACATCCTCCAAAAGGTATTTAGTTTCCTTCTCATTCATGTGGAGCACTGCACACAGGTCAGAGATTAATTTTAAAAAGAAGCCTCTGGCCATACATGAATTTATGCAAACTTGGCAGTGTGTCTATGGCCCTCTGCATGTTTCTAGTTTGACTTTCACTGCTGAGACCAGGTCGCTGATTTCAGTTACTGAATAGCACCCATAAATCACAGCTACTATTTTGAAAGATGATTTAAAACTATGTCCTTGTATTCTATGCACCAACCGATTTAGTGAACTCTTGTACGTAATGAGATTTATTCCTTCAGTTTAGTATACAAAGAGGCAAATTCTTTTGACAAAAAAGCCATAGGTTGTTCCTATTCCTTTCCTACTCTCCCACTTCATACAACAGGAAATAATGAAAAAAATGGATTGCTATCACATTTATCATGAGCTGTTAACCCTGGTAGTCTCAATTACATTCCCACTACAGAATGAACACACACACACACACACGGTCCCCAAGGAGCGATGATCAAGAACAAAATTATCACTTCATGCATTTTATTGAGTCTATTTAAATTTGCATTATGACATCTTACATAGGAAACAAACTCCTCCTAAATGTTAGCTATCAAATATGATCAAACTGTTTTATGACCTTTTAGAGTACCATTTTGTACTAAAGTCCAATATAAACAATGTAAAGCACTGTACAAAAAGGAAAATTGTTACATTCTCAGTTTAATACAGGGCTTCCCAGCCAACAGCCTAACAAATATAGGGAAGGGCTCTTGGGATTTTAATTTAAGTGACAAAAACCAGATAATGGAACTAAATAAGGTTCAATAATGGATTCGCCCATAAGAAAAAGGAAATCTCGGTGCAAAAGAGGTTGGGAAGCCCTGGTATAACAGAATCAAACTAATTTTTACACAACATAATTTAATGTGCTTTGAGTAAATTACATTACCATTAGATTTCCTTCTGTCTCCTTCCCCTCAGCAATGCAACCCAAACAAAAATAAAGCCTCTTGTAGGTGAAAATTTCAAATATTTCTAACTGTGTTGCTCAATTCCCTTAACATGGCTCCAAGTTAACACCTCCTGGGAGAAGCCAGATAACCTGGCACAGGCATTTCCATTACAACTGTGTACCTAATCAACTCAAGATCTGATCACATATCCCTAATCAAGTCACATAAATCCCCAGTTGTACTGCGGATGAACGGAAACACCAGATTCTTGCACAGAACACCACATTACAGTTATAGTAAGGGTCTCAAATTAACAATGCCAAGAAAAGTTAAGGCTGCAGCTAAACAGCTAAACCCAGCCAGCTGAACCTTGATATTGCAATATATGTGCTGATTAAGAACACACACTGTTGGAAGACCCATGGAATACCTAGGCACACTGGTACAAAATGGAAACCAATGGTCAGCTTTAACTAAATTTCTTTTCTCATCTTAAAATTAGACCCTAGTTACTATAACGCATCTCAGATCATGAATTTCCTCAAAGTGTAGGCAAGTATTTTAAGATACATTTCTTACTGAAATTATACTGGTGAAATTGTCCTTTGGACACTACATATTCGCATAATCCATGGATAGCGGACAGTCGTTACCGTCCATTGTGTCAACATTAGTTGAAAACACATTAATCTGCAAGTTGGCACAATGGCCAATCATGGCTTCTTCAAAATTGGTACAGTATCATGTTAGTGCAGCTGCTATGCATGCACACTAATACTTCCTACAGAAAGTCCTTAAGAAACTTTTAACGAGTAGTTTCTATGCATGCAGTGCAGCAACTACCCTGTCAAATAACACTATTTTCCAAACAAGGATCAGTTAACATAAATGAACTAACTGCCTGCAAAATACTATTTGCAAAAAGCTGTTTATTTTTACAAAAGTGCAAGTAAAAGAAGAACCCCAGTAAAAACCAGTCACTACTTTTCACAGTTCTTTCACTTAATGGATAAAACCCATTAAAAATGTCTACAAATTTGCAGTTTGATTAGAACTATATACTGCACTCTTACAAAACAAAAGATTGTGCACTCTTCTATGTTTTAAATACCTAGGGGTAATCCCAAACACCAGGAGGATGGCTGTCCACAATGTGCAAGTGTGTGTGTTTGTGTGTTTTTGTTGTAGTTTGTTTTTTTGTTTTTTTTTTTTTAACATCAGCTTTCCTTATACAAGCTCTAGCAGGGGAGCTCCTTCAAACACAAAACCAACTTAAACAGCAAAGAAATTAATGTTTTAATAAATAATGGAGTCAAAGATGTGTATTTCCCCAACTTTGAAGGAGGGTAAAAAAAGCTTCCTCAAGATGGCACCATAAACTAAGAAGAGGAGAGCAGCAATGTATAAGGTGGCTACCAGAATCTTTTAAACTTATTCATCTATGTACACGTGGGCATTAACCCCCCCCCCCCAAAAGATAATAGCTGTGTTTTAACCCTCTCAGTGGCCATGGGCATCCAGTAAAGTGGCTGTAAAAACAGTGCACATCCATCTACAATTCCAATGCTGAAAAAATAGGTTGAAGCTTAAGAAAGCTATAGATGCAAATATGTTAAGAATGCTTGGCACCAAAAGGATTCATATATTTTTAAATAAGTTGATTCAAGAGAGACTAACTTTAGCTAATTGTGAGCACCTCACTAGAGACACTTCTATACTTTATCTATAAAGCTTGCAATTTAATTTAAAATTGAAGTATTAATATTGGCTTTTAAAGCTTGATATAACTTTAATTTAAAGGAAAGAATGACGCCCATAAATTTCTTGTACTATACAGGAATTAACTAAATTACCTTATAATAATAGGGCCTGATCCAGCAACCCTTACTCAGATGAGAATTCCTGCTGCTGGATCAGGCCAATAATTTTCCAGATTTGTTTTGCACAATTCATAATAGGAAAGTATTCATAAACGCCATTGAGTTACTAGGTGTAGCTCAGAGCTCAGTTATACCATTGCTCATTTCCAGAACTGTTGTGGACGTTGGTAAATGCCTCATCTAGGTAAGAGTTCCTCACTAACAGCAATATCACTCTTGTCAATTGTTTGAAGTCAAAAGAAACAAACCCCAGTGCTACTGGTATAGTAAGAGTTTAAAAAGGAATTTCATTATAAATAATTAAAACATTTGAAACATTCAAAGGATTCTTAATTGAGGTGAACACTGGTTTCTGGTACCTTTTTGGGAACCTCAGACACTTTAACCGTTGTTACAATTACATAAAGTTAAAACATTAAGGCATACCACTCTTAGGCAATCATAATAAAACTACAAGATGGTTGAACTGTATAGTTCTTGGAAACCAAGAACAATCTTAATTAACGAAAGAGTAACTGCTTAATGAGGTATTACAGTCTTCCTCCACTGTGTATCGCTTGTTGCTAATGGGCTTATATTATTCTCATGTCTGTCCTTAGTCCTCATAAGACATCTGATTTTAAAAAGCTAAAAGTGTATTTAGAAATCAGTAGCAAATACTACTATAAAATATTTCAATTTTAATTCTACAGTCCAAGTCAGCAAAGAGCGTTACTGAAAAATGCAAGTGATTGCATACACTTATGTGCATACTACAGAAAAGATTCAAAAATCAGGGTGTCCAATGTTTGAGAAGTAGTTTTGGCTTAAGATTCATTAGCTACATTCATGAATCAAAGTCCAACCAGTAACATTAATATCTAACCTCCAATTTTATAGATGAACACATCTCAGAGAGAACATTTGAGAGCATGTATTTGTTTATAAATGTTTTAAAAACATACGATAAGGAACACCCTTACAATGATGGAGCATTCCACCACAAGGTAAGTGAGCTCACAAGCCAGTCAGGATTCCCCATCGAACTGAGAACGACATGAAAATGCACTGTTAGAAAAACGGGAGGGCTCCAGAACAGGCTGGTGAGTAGTTACGTTATAATGGCTTAGCAGCTAGGATGACGTTCTCTGTAACCACCACTCAAACACTGAAGATTAGTTAATGTAAAAAAAAGATAGGTCAGGTTTGGTTTTGTCATCTGAGTATCGAGCAACATTTTGGATCTAGCCAGCAAGAGCAGTTCATATCCCTAGTTAACAACTACTATATATATTTTTTTACTTGAAATAGAACATTGCTTTCCTTGAGAAGCATGTAGCATTGGCAAAGCTACTAAAGAGTAAAGGTTTCTTGGGAATGGGGAAGAGGTTTCCCACCATGTAAAGACAGTTGAGGTATGAACATTTCCAAAGCAGACTTAAAATTGTGCAAATGCATTTATAAGATTTGAATTGTGGTGAGCCCACACTAACTTTTAATACAAAACGCGAGTGGAATGTAGACAGTCTTTAACAGTAAAGAAACATGCCTAATATTTTATTTTAAGGAAAATAAGTTGCAAATTCAAACAACTTGAAATTTCATTTTTTAAATGTACTCCGGTAACCAATAATTTAAGATTGGCAATTCATTTGAGAAACTTCTGTTAGAAGATTATTTCTCCGTTACACCTAAATGTTAATTTCTCTACCATGGATACTTAGGTCCCATGCAACTGCCATTGATTTTTGAAGGCCAGCATGTTAAATCATTAAAGCTCCAGAGATTACTAGATCATTAGGGTGGGAGGAGAAAATTAATTTGCCAACATTTGTCTGCTGAAAGTTACATACAGCTCCCTCAGTGATTAAAATACAGCTTAATACAAAACTTGGGCAAAATCCTCACTGAATGAAACTGGTACATACAAGTTTGTATCATTACACATCAGTAACCATACAAAGAAAAAACCAGTCTTCAGAGCAGGTTTCTATTTTTTTTTTTATCACCTTTTTTGGTGGCATTACTGAGCCAAGACATTGCAATTATAACATTCAATTTCCATCCGTTTTAATGAAATTAAGATGGCTAATTCTTAACTGTTTTATGTTACAGTAGCTGTTCACATAAATTAAATAGTACAGATATGCACTGCTCTTGACAATAACATTTACAAAAGCAGCTCGCTTGTATTTAGTTTGCTCTGTGTGTGGTGGGTCTTATATGAAAAGCATTCTCTTCATTTCTAAGCATGGTACAATTTTAATTCTTAATGCATTAGTACAACAGTGCACTGGAAAAGTACTGAGCTTCTACAAAAAAGCTTTACAATTGTAAAACAAAAATTGTGATTTTTTTTATTTAAACAAGCATAGGCAATTCTTATATTTCCACAAGATAAATATCCCGATTAAGCTATCAGCTCACTCTACAGAGTGCCATAGTGATGGGCTGGAGACAGCTGTACAATGGGAAAAGGGCTAACATTAGTGTTATCTGCACTCATGTGTCCAAGAATACCCAATATGAAAATTAACCAAAATTATATTTAAGGGTGCAGTTGCATGAATTTCATATTCAGTGGGATAGCTGGGTTTGCTTTTAAAAATCCACTATGAAGCATGTGCTGTAGCTAGGATGACTTCTCAGATAAGTTCCTTACAGGGATGAATTGAGTGCTGAGGTCTTTAAGATTCACAATGCATTGGGGAGGGGATGGGGAAGGAGCTTAACAGTCTTGATGATGAAAAAAATGAGAAATTTATAACAAATAGGTGTCTTTGGGGAAATAAAATTGTCTGAAATTCGAGACACTGAAACTGAATAGATTTGGAGACTCTAATTTAAAGAGATTCCCATTTTAAAAGCTTTAATTCTGAGAAAATGTTTCCATGAAGGACGAAGCAGCCAGACTCATTACTTTACATTGAAGCACCACTCAAAAAGTGGTCATAATGAAAGTGACCTTGTTGCCCATCACTATTACACCAGCTGTTCAGCCACAAATTCAGCTCTCATTTAGACAACACTTTCTCTGTTACCAGACGCTAAGACTGCTCTACGACAAATAGGACAAGTGGAATTTTCTGATAACCAGCGATCAATGCAGTGGACATGGTACTCATGGGAACAAGGCAGTTTACGAAGCTTGTTGCCCTCTGTGTATTCTGTAATACAGACACTACAGGTTTTCAGAGCATCGCTTTCACCAAAATTCCTCCATGCTAGGTTGTCAATTTGTTCTTTGGTGAGTCCTCTTGGCTGGTCATCATCATCCTCATTTAGTAGAAAAAACTGTGCTAGGCTAAGGAATGGTAAAGAGCCACTTTCTTCAAAAGTGACTGATCCCCTAGTATTCCGACCTTCCCGCCTAGCAGATGTTGAACCTCCTTCATTACTACTTTCATATACCTCCCCTGAGCTACCTTCAGTACTTTCATTGCGTGAACTAGTACTACCACTATCACCTCCATTCTGTAACTCAGGAGCATCTACATTTTGGTTTGGGGCTGGGCCATTAGGATCTGCATCACCATCACTGTACATATAATAGTTTAATTCTCCAAAACCTGTCATTATCTGCCTTAGAATGGTCTGAATTGCGACCGATGTTGTCTCATTAAAGCCCGTGTTTATGATTCTACGAATAGGAATCCTAATGGTACTGACATAAGTTCTCACTCCAGCCCGTTCTGAACGTGAAAATGTACGCCTAAGCCCTCCACGTTCACTTTCATAAGTGACTGTATTGTTTGGTGTCTGGGACCTGGATCGGGTTCGGTTGGCTATGCTGTCTCTCTGCCGATATTCTCCTGGACGGACTCTTCTCACTTGAAGATCAAGAACTATAGTAGGTGGCCTCTGTCCAGGAGCTGCAGACTCACTGCTGCCATTTGTTTCTGAAGAACCTAATGCTGGAGGAGCAGGTCTTGTTTCAGGGGTTGAAAACAGAACTGCATTTTCACTTGCAATCTCAGTCCCCGTCGTATGTTGCCTTAACGTCACATGCTGTCTAGTTCTAGAACTTCCCTCAGATTCGTTTACGAGGGAATGATCAAGTGTCTGAGATGGCATATTGTGAGGAGATCTGCGAGGAGTCTCACTTGCTGGATTAATAGGTGACCTACTTCTATCAGTCCTAGCCCGGGTTCTTCGTTGTTCTGGGCTCCTGCTTCTTGCTCTTCTCTGGCCTCTGAGAGGAGATGCTTCCTCAGTTGCTAACTCCTCAGAGGTACTTCTGTCTGAGCCAGGCTGCCTTACAGATGGCGATTCAGATCTTGGAGTCTCAGTGTCACTTTGGCTATTTTCCAAATCCTCACCATTAGAGGGCTCTACAGATTGCTCATTTTCAGCTTCTGGGTTTGGGTTCCCATTATTACGGTTGACATTTATTTCCAAACTGAATCTGAAATCACCACTGTTAGGGTTAGTCCGGCTCACTGCCCTCCAAGACTGGTTTCCTCTTTGCCCGCTCCGTGTGGTATTTCCAGTCTGTCGTACTGAATTAAGCCAGTCTATTATGGAATCTCTATTAGAAACATCTTCTGTGGATTCTGCACCTGTCAAAAGAAAGGGAACTACCAAAATTAGAGAACTGAGGTAATTCTTAGATTAAATTTTCCAAAAATATAATTACTTAATTAATCAAGTTACAGTTTTAAAATAAGTCCATAAGTCCATAACGGTTTCATCCTTAACAGCTTGATAAGTGTTATGTCCACAAGAGCTTTTTCTTTGAGGGAGCATGAGTGGACATTTTTCTACTGCCAATAATTATGCCTCTTTAGAAGTTGTAGCCAAATAGCAAACAAGTCATCAAAATAATTATTTCTTGTAACAACTAAATGGAAAGTCAGTTATGTTTCAAGGGTTAAAAAAAACCATTATATTAGATGTTTTTTACTTGCTCAAATACTGTCAATTCAATGGCCTAGTACAGCAGCAGTTAAATCACAAACCAAAGCCATGTCTACATAACAAGCGTACAGAGGCACAGCTGTACCGATACAGTTGTGCTGCTGTAAGAGTACTTGTGTAGCCACATTATGCCAACAGGAGAGAGCTCTCCGGCCGACATAATAAAATCAGCTCAATGAGCAGTTGTAGCTATGTCGGTGGGAGACGCTCTCCCGCCGACATAGTGCTGTGCACGAGCGCTTATTCTGGTAAAATTTATGTCACTCAGGGGGAGTGTTATTATCACATCTCTAAGCAATAAAAGTTTTGCTGACATAAGTGCTAGTGTAGACACTGCCTTAGTGGCCTGGAATACTTGAGTTTGCTATACTAGAGAACCATTTAGCTAACAATGACAGGGTTCAGTGGGACCTGTGTGTAAACCTTTATGCAGGGAGGCAATGTGGCAACCTTGAGATGGAAAGAGTAAATGTGAGAAAATGTGGGAATCTCAGAAAGCACCCCTGTAAGGGAACAGAATGGAGAGAAATCTAAACAAAAAAAAGAAATGCAGAAGCGATCACAGTGCAGCAAAATAGAAGTGTGATGTGTTCTAGCTGAAATCTCTTCAAAACTTTGATCTCTGAAGCAGATATCAGATAATCTTCACTTAATTCTAAAACACTGCTCACCTTGCACCTGCCTAGGCTTAACATGTTCCATTCCTGCACTCAAGTTAAGATCTATATGGGCTGCTAAAGTTAAGAGCTTCCACAAATACAATATTTATACCTCTGTTCTCATCACCATTTTGCTGTGGTGGACCTTCTTTAACTTGATGTAGCCTTCTCATCAATTCTTCTTCAGTAATTTCACCTTAGGAAGCAAGCAAAGTTTTCCAAAACTATTTTAAAGGCAGATATGTAAAGGCAAGAATAAGCCATAGGCTAAGAGTTCTTATGCTTACATTCTCTTTGAACTGCAAATACTGTACTAACAAGATACTGACTGCTGCTAAGTGTTTGTTGAATTCTGACACACCATGATACCTATAAGTCGGGGTAGCCAAAGTATACCCCATAGTCCTCCAACACTATTGCCCTTAGGTAAGACTTGCTGAGGCTCCAGCTAACAGAGTTACAACCTGCTCAGAAGAAGATGGCGAAATGCTTGCTGGGTCTTGTAACCACATGTCAGCAGTATTCTCCATCCTATATCAATCAAGGCCTCATTTACAAGAGAAAGTTGCACTGGTTATCTAAAAGTGTTATTTTAAACTGATTTAGTTAAACCAGTGCAAAAAAAACCTCAGCAGACATTTCAGATTAAGATTTGTTTATTTCAGTTTAGCACAAGTCTATTAGGAATCAGTTTTATCTAAGCCAAAATAAGCCCCTCTTATACTGAAATAAGACTGTTCACACCGGTTTAACTAAATTGGTTTTAAAATTACACCTTTAGTTAAACCAGTGCAACTTTCTTATTTAAAAACGGCCCAAGTGAGACTCAGATACCTGGCAAGATGCCAATGCAGCCCTCAGTAGTGCAGACTTTGCAAGTCCCAGTGAACACTAACATTTTCTTAAAATTGAATTAGCACATCTAGTTTAACCTAACAAGCTCGACACTATTCATATTACCTTCAAGGAATGGCCTACTGCAGTGGTTTTCAAACTTCAGGTCGCGACCGAGTACTGGGTCGTGGAATGCAAGGCACTGGGTCACCTTGCTTAGCACACAGGGAGCCTGGTGGCTGGCCAGTAACAACTAGTCCCTACCTGTTCTGAGTCTGACACCACGCTTGCCATGGAAACAGCCAGGAGCAGATCCGGCTCCTAGGCAGGAGGGCCTCAGGGCTCCGCGCGCTGCCCGCGCCCTGAGCAGCGGCTCCGCACTCCCACTGGCTGGTTCCCGGCCAATGGAAGCTGTGGGGCAGTGCCTGCGGACAAGAGACACGCGGAGCTGCTTGCCCTCCTCTGCCTAGGATTCAGACCTGCTGCTGGCCGCTTCCGGGGCACAGCGCGGTCCACGGTGACAGGACAGCCTGGAAGCCTGCCTCTGCACCCCGGCTGCGCTACTAACCAGGAGCCACCGGAGATAAGCCCGGACCCAAACCCCGCACCCCAATCCCCTCCATCAAAACCCAGAGCCCCTCCACCAAAACCCAGAGCCCCTTCCTGCACCCCAAATGCCTCATCCCCAGCCCAGCCCAGAGTGTGCACCCACAGCCCAGAGTCCTAACCCCCTCCTGCACCCCAACCCCCTGCCCCAGCCCTGAGTCCCTCCGACACCCCAAACCCCTCATCCCCAGCTCCGTTGGGTCACAGGCATCAACAATTTTCTCCAACTGGGTCACCAGAAAAAAAGTTTGAAAACCACTGGTCTACTGTGTGCTCAACTAAGCAGAAGAACTACTCTCTACAATGGCATAAAATAGTACTAAAAATATAATAAATGCTGAAGACACATTCAGCACAACAGTGAGAGGAACTAGGTAGTCTGAAAATGGGTGTAGAGGCATTCACATTTGTGAATTAAAGTTTTCATGCTACCTACATGTCGTAACATACCTGGTGTTCCTAGCAAATTGTTATCCCTCATAAGCCTATAGTCCTCTTCATTCAGGTTATTTACAAAGTGATAGAAAGCTTCTTCACGTTCTAATCGATCCAGCTGACTCCGGCGCTGTGCTTCTGAGTGATCAATACTTCCTTTATCGTTAGAATCTGAGCTTTCCATGTTGATGAAAGAGTGGGAAAGTATCTAAAAAGAAGAAGAAAACTACATATTTTGAAAACCATACATACAAAAATGAATAAAATAATCTGTAATGCTTATTCACACATTCAGTGGAATTCAGTACAATCTGTCGTTGAACTTGACCCTGACAACACACACTTAATCACTATCATATATTTAAATTATTTAAGGAGAAATTTAGTTTGTACCACAATTTAAATCACTACTTGGTTCAGCATTTAAATCAATAATTTTGAAAATGCAATATGTTTAGGGAAGCATCAAAATTACAGACCAAATCCTTCAGGCAATCTTTTGTGCACCCAACATTGCTCAGGAAGGAGACGTCTAAACCCCCTTATAGCATACCCTGATGTTGCAGCTACTTGACAAAGCACAACCTAGAGCAGCCTAAAGGCTGCCTTAAAACAATCCTGTAAAGGACGTGAGTCATCTGAATCCAACACTATGTTCCTTTAGAAGACAATTTTAACAGGGTTAAGCCTCCTAAACTCAAGCCTATAAGGAAACGAAGTGCCTCGTGTTACTCATCAGCAATTCTTCTGGACAATTAAGAGGAATAGCCAATCCCCAAAAGCCAAAAGAATTTGGAAGAAATGTGAAAACTAGGAAGTGGAATTACAGCATAGTAGATTGTGAGTGCCAGAGAACACCTTGCAATACAAAGATCATTCAGTTCCTCAGGAAAAAAAAGGTTCTGTAGAATGAATTCTGGGATTTAATGCCAAAAGTAATTTATTAGACAGCAGTTCAACTGTCAATTTTGATGAAAGTGGAATATGAGACCAAGAAGTCTTGTGTACCTGGCATATTGCCAGCTGTAAACAGGAATCCAATATATGCATTCTCCCCACACTTTTCCTACTTCAGTTAGGTTAGAACCTCTAACACATCTCTCAACATTAGTGAGAGATACAGCAATATCTGCATTTGGTCAACGTCAACAGTGAAAACATACCACCTCTGGAGAAATGAAGTTAACCTTAAACCTATCCAAATGGAAGCCAAAACAAGGAAGCCTGGTTATTAATCAGTAAGCCTCACCAATCATGATGTAAAGCACGGTCTTACACAACTGTGGGAATGCACCAATTACTCATGTGGCTCATTATCTAGCTAGTTTTACACCTGGTGGAATGCTCCTATACAACATTTCCACCGGAAATGTTTCCTTTTTTTAAAACAGCTCCTGAAGCCTCATGAACATACTGAGGGGGGGGGGGGGGGGATTCTGTTTTGTGCTTTTTAATCGGAGAATTTCCAAATATAATAGGATCTGTTTCTCGGCCACTTGTCTAGTGCAGTGGTTTTCAACCTGTGGACCCTGGGGGTCTGCAGACTACGTCTAAGACTTCCAAAAGGGTCCGCACTTCCATTTGAAATTTTTAGAGGTCTGCAAATGAAAAACAGTTGAAAACCACTGGTCTAATCATGAAACTGATCCTCTTTTTGGTTTCTAAACAAAACTGTCAAGAAAAATCAGAATGTCTCTACACTTTAAATCATCATAAATAGAGGAGAGGTTTTGCATGATCTTCAAGGCCCATTTGTTTTACGCACATTAAGGTAACTTACACAAGAGTTACTGTGTTTGTCTTCTTCCCTCTCCAAGCCCAAAATTACATGTTAGATGTGGGAAATGTCATTATTGGAAGGCGGCCTCAGAGGAGGGTCTTGCATTTAGATTCAACACTATTAGGGTTACTCCTGGAGGCTTGTCTACATTAGGGATTTTCACACTGGTATAGCTACACCAAAGTAGCTTCACCAGTGCAAACACCTAATATAAACTCTGCACCAAGCCAGTTTATCCAGCTCCAAAAAACAGTTCTCTTCTACCTTAGCCATTGCAGAACCCTATGAATTCTAGATGCCTATCACTAGGATACTAATAGTACTACAATGACAATGGGGTTTCCTTGGTTCTGCCTAGCTACGCAACAGGATTTCAATAGTGGCAGTAAAGCAGCACTATTACCATATTACTATGCAACAGACTCCTATGGAAACAATAACTAGATACAGCTGTCCCTCAGGGATTTAATCACTGAGGCACACCATCCAAATTGTGTCGAGTGTAGTACACAATCTTGATGCCTAAAATGAGACCTAACAACTAAAATGTAAACAGCACATTAAGATATCATAAGCAGCATATTACCATAAAGCAAGAAATGCAAATAAGGGCAAGACACACCATGTCTGCCTATACACTATGATAGGCATAACTGTGGCATCCTATTAAACCTGCACAGGGGAGGTCATATATAGTATGTTTCACCTCAGTGAGTTTCCTTGCTTTTATTGCTTTAGGTCAACTTAACATGAGAATTTGTTCTTACCTGCGTAACACAACCTGAAATTTCCCTTCTTCTGTCAGCACAGAACTGGCGAGGGAGAGCAGAAATGTCTGGAGGAGCTCATGTCTCTAAGATGTAGTGAGTGCAGATCTGTTGATTATAGCCAACTTTAGTTTATCCAGTAATGAAACTGAACATCTTTATGGAAGCACAGTAAGATTTGTCTAAAGTTCGCTGGAAACAAGAGTCTGTACAGCTATTTGACTGAAACAAGTGAAAGTTTTCTTTAAAATGGTGATAGGAAGTGTTTTTCAGCAGCTGAATAACCAGATATTATAGCAGTAAACTCTTAAATTGGTATGCCCACTCACTGACAAGTCAGTCAAGTGGATTCCCTGTAGTTACTCATTAACAATCCACTCAAAGGTGCCAGGCACAAATGACTAATGATGTCCTTACCATCAGTAGAAAGCAGCAGAGTCTATGGAAAACAGTAAGCTTTAATAGCAAGAAATGACTATCTATAGTTCAAGATTTTATAATCTCCAAGGGAGGAGTTACTTTATAGTCTCCGGGGTATAAATGATCGAGAACTAAAGATATTCATTTGGTATTGAAAAAAGTTGCCATTATCAGTTACTTTGCTCCACTACCAGTACTAAAATTATCAATTCATTGATACTGTGACAACTAGGCCTGAGTAGAAAGTCATACAAATGTAAGGATATAACTTAGAAGCAAATCTACGAAAGAGGGTCAGGCATCACAATTCAAGAATTTACTAAAGTAGCTGTTTAAGAAATTCACTTTGGACCCCATACAACAGCAAAATGCTTAAACTCTCAGTTCACCTTTATCTTTACTACCTTACACTTAGTGGTACCTTCCATCTGAGGATCACAAGATGCTTCCCAGAAATAAGTGTTAATTGAGCAGATGGCACAATGACCTACCAACTAAGTCTTCCTTGCGTGAAAATAAATAAGTTGTTTCAGGACATAGTAAAATAACCCAAAAGCTATCTGAGCTGAATTTACCTTAGTACATGTTCTTCTGTTTCTGTAAGAGAATAAAACCCACCTAAAATTAAGTAGCAGTCAAGCAGTCATTGCTGAAATCTGCAACTTGTATAAAGTAAAAGGAAACTTGACCCTAAAGGATCAAAGTCTTTCCTTTACAATGTTTGAAGAAAAAGGAGTGATTTAAAAAAAAATAAAGTTGTGCTCTTCATCAGCAATATGTAGTAGGTCTCAAAGTAATAGGAGGAAAAAGACTATGACCAACCAAATTAATAAAACAGCAAGCACTGTTAAGAACTGGCTGGAAGGAGTTAATCTCCCCCAAAACGTCTTGTGTCTAAATGATTGATATTTTAAGATGAAATGAAAATATACGGGTTTCAATATTTAAGAGTGACATCATTTCATTTGGCATGTACTGGATATTTTCTAGAAAATTAGATTCCTATACATTATGCAGATTTCTTAACTCTCTTCCCAGCAATTTAATTTATAACTCTGAATACACAAAAGGGATGGTTAATAGGTGGAAATAGTTTAGCAACTGTGCTCAACACAGGACTAATTTCTAAATAGTGATTACCTACTACAATACTTAATGAGCTATTACCAACTGATCCACTTCCATCCCACAGGAACTAGTCATCCTTTTTGGCAACCAGAGGCAAATTTGTTGTATCAGTGTAGAAGTCAGAGTTGCCCTTACCTAAACCGAACTTCAAGAAAAATGTACAAGACAAAACTCAGACGTTGACTTGAAAATATATACATTCCCTACCCCCCAAAGATCACCTAAATCTCTAATAGGACTATTAACCCTCTTTCTTGATGAAACTTCATCCTTAGCGCCCTGTCAAGAAAAGCTCTCCAACACCAGATAATTCAGATTGAGAGAAATTAAAACTAGCTATTAGAATATTTTGAATTCCATTTCTCTCAAGGTACAAAAATATTTGCAAAACCTAAGTCATATTTTAAAGTGCCTTATTTACCATGACGTGACAACCAAATTAATGACTAGGCTTCAAAAAACAAACTACTACAATCTGTGCTCTTCTAAGATGCACAACAGAAAAAACTAGTAAACAGTTTTAATGTAGCTATGTCAAACACCAATTATTTTATAAATAATTAGTTGTAATACATAAAGAAACCACACATTTCATGTGTTTTCAACCTTGAAGTTTCATCATTGTTGTATCCTATAAATCCTTGCTCTCAAAAAACAGACCATAGAAAATGACTGTTGAGTGAACCCAATTACTAAGAGCATTAAAAAAAAAAAAAAAGCAAGCATGTGAGGGAGCGGGCTCACTGAGATTTGCACCCCAATCCTGCAACAAGATACACACAGATGGACCACTGTGTCTACCTACAGCCCCGCTGAAGACAATGAGTTTTCCACATAGACACAGAGGTCTGCCTGTATGCCTCGTACTGCAGGATCAGGGCTTTCAGTCCAGTCTGAATATCTACAGCGTAGAGGCAATAGGGGATTAAATTTTCAAATTTTTAGAAGTCTGCCTTACATGTTGGGCTTATTCTTTGCCTGTTGCTATTAACTCTAATGGATGTAGTATGAATGTATCCATCTGGACATTAAATGTGATGGATAGATACTTCTCTTACCCCAAACATTACACCACTCAAATTTCACCGGTACACTCTTTGCCTCAAAAAAAACTAAGCTGGAAAAATGTCAACTTGCCAAAGAACACCAAAAAAGTATTTTGTCTTTTTACAAAGTATTTGTATAAAATGCTATTTTAATAAAGGAACAAAGATGTTCCCAGAGCGCTAACAAGCAGAAGTCATAAGAATCAGAATGTCATTTTAATCATAGGTATGACATTGCAATAGAACATATGTCAATACTTTCACATATCCAATAAAATGTTTCACTCTTAGAACTCCACTGTCAACGCAGAGGGCTCAAAATGTTATAATTTTCCTTATTAAAATAGCATTTGTCACAAAGACATGCTGAAAATGAAAATAAATAAGACATTATGTTGCTTTTGGTCTTTAGATTATACCACAGAAGAGAAGACCTATTGGACATGAGGTATCACAAGAGGAGTCTCATGAAAATGGTTCTCTCTTGCTCTAAAAATGAGCATCCTGTAAGGTCAGCAAGCAAAACGCCCACTCTGAAGTTAGGAGGAAGCAGCACTGTGGTATGTCAGCAGCCAGTGTCGTCACTGAAAGGGAGAGCAGCAAAAGTAGGGTAGCATCCTGGGGAGCCAGACCCGCAAAACTGATGACCGTCGAGTAGTGCTCAAGTTTCAGCAGAAACAGGACCTCCGGTTAATGGAAGCTCTAAATCAAACATAACCTGTAGAATTTCAATGCAAAAAACATGTAACTTCAACTCTTCTTTTAACTCCATTTCATCCGCAAAATTGTTGCTATTACAGATTCTACTGGAGATAACAGGCCAATGCTACGCTGACAAACAACTGCAACCAATAAATGAGGATTACGGTACAAGCCTATCCTGGTTGCTGTCTAATTCATGAAATACTCCCAAATATAAGTGTTTTTTTTAAATAATACCTTATTAAATAACATTTAAGTTATATATTATGTTTAAATATAAAACCAAGCTGTATGTAAAACTACAATCTCATCATCTGATTTTGATGACAAATCAAGAAACAGAAATTCATGTAGATTATTTATGAGATTATGGATACAGATGCCTCTGGCATACTGAATTTGTAAAAGACTGTTCTTGTTGGACTTTTTTTTAAAAGTTATTAAAATTAAGAGGATAAAGTAAATGCATATGAGTATATCTTACCTAATCAAGTGTTGCCACTTGATTTTTTTAGCAATGAAGCTGCTCAGCTTTGCAGTTCTCACTGAAGGAAAGAGTTAAACATCAACACTTCAGATCAGCCAAGAAATACCAATTGGTGTCTGCTGACATAAACCAGGACAAGAAGATGAAATTGCAGCCTTATATGCATTTTATGTTTTTACGCACAGCCAAGTGTCTCATACATTCTGAAGAGAAAAGCAAATGGAAATGTTGTGACACTCCAAGTTACCTTTATATACCCATGGAAAGATCCATCCCTACATTAAAGTTTAACACGGACACATTTTTTAAAAATATGGGTTGCGAGATAGGTGCCTATGCATAAGAAATTCAAAATAAGAGATCCTGATGGTAAAAAGGTATAGATAAATGTGCTATGTTTTATCCTTTCAATACTTTGATTGGCTTAGGTTTTTACAAGTTCCTGCCCCTCTTAGACTTCACCTAGAAGAGGATTTAAAGGTGTGTTAGAACATGTTAGCTAACATGCTCTAAAAGTTTAGTGTAGACTATTCAGCTAGTAAGTGATCAGTTAATCTAGTTGGGTTTCAATTAAATCAGTTTAGCATGGGTTAGACTATACAATGCCTTGTCTCCACTAGATTTGTTAGAACAGGGGTTCTCAAACTGGGGGTTGCAAGGTTATTACATGGGGGGGTCGCGAGCTGTCAGCCTCCACCCCAAACCCTGCTTTGCCTCCAGCATTTATAATAATGTTAAATATATAAAAAAGTGGTTTTAATTTATAAGGGGGGGGGTCAGCTTGCTATGTGAAAGGGGTCACCAGTACACAAGTTTGAGAGCCACTGTGTTAGAAAAGTGTTACTAACATTCCTACAGACATCTTTAAATCTTAGCCTAAATACATTCTTAAGAGCTTGTTTATACACAAGAATTGTACTGTTTAACTCTATAAGGGGCTACACCAGTATAAATATTTTGATTAAAAAAAATCATGCCCTTAACCAAACAAACAAGTGCAAAAAATGTGTGAAGATTAGGCCCCAGGCTGTTCTGAGTTTGGTGGAGAGATAAAGAGTGCTGAAACTGTCAACTCTCTCTTTTCTGGGAGGTAATTAATATGGACTGGACAACATGTTTATTATCCAGGCTAGGGACTTGCTATTTGTTTGATGGTCACATCACCTTATATAAATATCGGTGTGGTTGATTATATGACATTAAGAGCCAGAAGCACATACGTTTTTAGTACTGCTAACTGGGGGAGGAGGGAAGAATGCAGTATTTATTTCCTTTGTAACCCATTTAACAAAATATGTTTTCCTCTTTTGATGAGCAGTTAGATCATCATTTCTGATTCCTTTACTTTCCAAATGACGATTAACCGTTCCAAAATGGTAAACCTCTGCTGGGCATACAGAGGCACTTTTAAACACTGGGCTATCACCATAACATATCAAATCCCAGACTCTGGAAGAAGATATTTAACTTCATCTACAAAAGGAAGGAGTTACTGTTTAATTTTCATCTCTACCTATCAACTTATTGTGGTTGAAATGACTAGAAGATGGATGTTACAGCTTCTTTACTATTTCATAGTCACCTCCAACTTGAAATTAATCAATATAGCCAATAGTGCAGATGGGAAGTAAGTCTTAGGTGTAGTGCTGTCCACCTGATTATTGTTATTTGTGTACAACTTCAGTTTGAAAGCTTATTTATTCAACACTAAACAGGGCTCTTTGTTTATTCACTCCAGAAAATACAGACTGTATCCAATGTTCCAACTTAATTTCCTAGGGAAGTTTTTTGTTGAAAACCCTTTTTGTAAATATCTCGAATAGCTAGATAATGGATCAAGTCCATAAGATACAGACAAAATAGATTTTGGTCCTCCTTTGAGATATATGACTACAAACAGCATAAGACATCCCAGGATGACCAGAGTTTTGAACCTCCATAAACATTCCTAAAAGTATAGATCATTTTTACAACATCCTCAGGACATTTTTGGGGTGTGGTAAATAAAGGTAACTGGGAAGTAAGTGAGATTAGACAGATAAAATGGGGATCACAGTGCTATCAGTTTTCGTGGGTCACAAAACTACAAACAACCTGGACACTTGGAAATAGAAGAGGCCCTCACAGAGAGTAACACGGACAGTCCTCTCCACCTCTCTCCTCACGATGGGGCTCCTTGCTCCTGGTGTGGGGAGGATAAAATGAAGGCTTGGACCTGAGACACTATAGCTCCTTAAAGGAGACACTGGACAGGAGAGAGAGGCCCGAGTTTTCCTACAAACCCAAAAGTCTAGTTTCAAGTTTCAACCCCCTCAAACCCAGCTGGGTACAGCGGAGCGAGAAGCCCCGCAGCCCACGAGAGGGAGCTTGGCCCGGTGCCCAACCGGGGAAGGGGTCCCCTTCCGGGCTCAGGCCGTGTGGAGGGGAAGGGCCCTGAGGTGTCAGTCCTCCCCTGCCCGAGAGGATGGGACAGGAAGTGAGGCTCCCCTGCTGCCGACAAGGACTCGCGCTCACACTTGGGGATGGGGTAGAGAGGACCAAGGGGTCGTCTCCGTGGAGACAGGGAGACCAAAAGGGCCTGCTGTCCTCCCTGCCCCAGAAGCGGGGATCCCATCCACCGCCCGGGCCCTCCTCCCAACTTCCCCGGCTAGGCAGGGTCGAGTATCAAAGGGGGGCAGAGGCTCGGGGACACAGACTCCCCCTCCCCGCCGGCAACCAGAGCGCCACCGCCGCCTCCTCCTCCCCTGGGCCTGGGCCTCTCCCTTCCCTAGGCCATTTTGAAACTCTGCGTCCGGCCCCGATACTCACCCGGCGCCGCCAGGCTCCCTCCTCCCCCCCGGGTCTCGGTCCGTCGCTGGCTCCGGTGCTCAGCGGGCTCGGCCCTGGCTCGCCCTACTCCGTCCCTCCCCGAGCGGCAGCAGCGTCTCCTTCCCTCCCCCTCTCAGGCGGCCATTTTCTGCTCCATTGTTACCAGGGAAGTGGGGGGCCGGAAACAGGAGCGGCCGCCAGAGGAAGTGAAGGGAAACTCATTGCGCATGCTCACTCCTCTCCCGTACGCGAGGCGCCTTACACAAGCCGCCATAGAGCTTGGAGGACCGTGCAGAGAGAGCGGCCCCACTCACTGGCTAGGCAGCCATTTTGGATGGGGACAGGGAGGAGGGCGGGGCGTCGCGTGATCCCCTGAAGCGGTGGCGAGTGGCCGGTTAAATCTGAGCGGGGCCGGACTGGCTGCGTGCAGCTTCCGCCTGCGCTCCCGGTGAGCGCGGGGCCCCAGCCCACGGGTCCTGCCTTGCACCCCAGCGCGGGGGCCCGGGGCGTTGTCCAGCCTCCATCGCTGGCGCTCAGACAATCCCTGGTCTCTAAGGCGGCGGGTGAAAGACCCGGGTCGGTTGGGCTCCTGCACCAGGGGGATGGGCCACGGTGAACCTATGGTTGCAGGAAGGCTAATCCCAAATAAGGTTACCAACTTTAGTTGGACGAATTCCTGGAGGTTTCATCACATGACATTATCTTTAATTAAAGATTCATCTTTAATTCCTGGAGAATCCAGAACAGTCCTGGAGGGTTGGCAACCCTAATCCCAAACCCAGATCTTGGGCCAGGGAACTGGTTTATTTCATGCACTGAAGATTAAAATCCTTTGTTGGGTATGCCATAGGATGGGACGATATTAGAGTTGTAAATAAAAACGAGTGCTATAATACTGCAGGGTATATACCCACCCAACACGTGGTGCCAGACAAATTGATCCACCAGATGCATGTAGAAGCATAAAAATACATCGCAAAGAGCCATAACTGTAAGAAGGGCTGTTAATTCTTTCATTATTTGACCTGACTCCTGGTATCCTGCAGTTTATGATAAAATATCTGTGTGGTATTATTTCCCCTTCGTTTTTCATCCCAGTGGATTTTCTGTGCTATATGAATTACTCAGGAGAGGGGATGAGCTTGAATTTGCACATTGTTCAGTTAGCTATGCAGATATGTGTGTGTGTTTATTAGCAGCCAGACTAAGTAGCCATTAACACCAGGTTTTGCCATTGCTAAATTCACATATACAGATTCATAAATATCCACCAACATTTAAGGTGTCTAAGGCACTTCTGGTATTTTCTGTGTCAACATAAGAAGTTTACAGTTTGGATTTCCAAACACCAGTGACCTGGAATGGCCAAGGAAGAGTTAGCGTTTGGTAGACAGCACTGACTGTAGTATGAGCTAGGTGTGGGAGGGATAGGTCAGTGGTTTGAGCATTGACCTGCTAAATTCAGGGTTGTGAGTTCAATCCTTGAGGGGGCCATTTAGGCAACTGGGGTAAAAATCTGTCTGGGGAGTGGTCCTACTTTGAGTAGGGGGTTAGACTAGATGACCTCCTGAGGTCCCTTCCAACTCTGATATTCTATGATTGGTCCTCAGTGACTTGGGTTCTATTCCTAGGTTCACTACTAGCTTGTTGAGTGTTGCCAGTCACTTTGGGTTAGATTTGCTCCCCCTACTTTTAGGTGCCTAGAAAATCACTGGTATTCACAAAGCCTGACGTAGGCGCCTAGGCTCCCTGCAAAATGAATGGGGTGATATAGGCCTCTTAGGACATGATCCACACAAATCAACATGCTACCTGGTTTCACCTACAGTAGCCAAGGGGAGGGGTGTATTCAAAGCCCCACCTCTCCGAGGGAGTTTGGCACTTAAATCTGAACTGCAAGGAGGCACCTGGGAATCTGAGCTGCAAACCCTCTCGTGGTATTAGGTTCCTATGCCATTTCTGCAGGATGTTCTTCCTCATACATTTTGGCCCGGCCTTTAGGATACTCATCTGGGATATGGGAGCGCTCTGATTCAAGTCCACCTGGGGTGGGAGAAAGGATTTGAACAGGACTCTGCCATCTCTTAGGAGAGGGTCCTAACCACTTGGCTTGAAGATAGTCTGATGTGGGCAATCCCTCAGGTCTTTCCTGTTGAAGCTGTTCCACTGTAGATAAATAATGTAAGAAGTCACTGGAGCAGGAAGACTGGAGGCTGGGTCTCCCACTGCCCTCTTGAGTGCTCTTATCAGGCTACAGAGTCATTCTCATGTTTTCTCTCTCTCTCACACCCAATAATTTTTTCAGGCAGAATGTGCACTTGAACCAGGTCATGTCCCAGGTGAGTACCCTAACCACTGGGCTAAAAATTATGAGGAAAGGCTTCTTCCACCCTCTAGTTGTTTTGTTTGGGTTTGCCTAAAGGGGTCCAATCCCATAGGCAAATTCTTAACATGTTTACTGGATCAGGCCCCCATAGGCAAGTTCTGTGGAAGAATACCTATCTTCTCCCGGTCTGTGCATCACTCTGGGGGGTTAGGCATCCAGATACTTCAAATAAGGCTGCAGAAGACGCTCTCAGAGACAGAAACATAGGCACCTACAGAACTTTTATTGCAGTATTTAGGCGCTGAGTGAATTCTATTGCCTACAACTGTCAAGGACAGCTGAGTTGGAGTTTAGGGAATCCCGGTGGGGCCTGATTCTGGGATTTAGGTGCCTAAAATGGTAGTTGGGCACACAAGTCCTTTTGTGAATCTTGTCCTTCAGTGCTCTGTGCCTCAGTTTCCCCATCTGAAAAACAGATAGTGATACTGACCTCCTTTGTAGAGCACTTTGAGATCTACTGATGAAAAATAGTCCATAAGAGCTACAAAATGAGTCCTCATTACTTGCATCCTGGGTCTGTCATATCTTGGTCATTCTTCTATCATCCTATTATGGGAGGTACAAGGAAATACTTATTCCCACAAGGCACATATGATGGATTATATCCCTGTGCTGTTCTTCCTTTTCCATAAGAATCCATTGCCACCATGTACGAGCCTTCCAGGACAAACATGCCTCACTTGTGACATCCTGCAAGAAAAATAAATCCAGTCAAGAGAAAAACAGACCACATAGGAGTGATGGAGAGAAGATCAGGGAAAGATTTATGGTCCCAATTTTTATAGCCACATGAGTTCTGTGGTCACTAAGTAGTTACAGAATTAGACCCGGGCAGGTGGGGAGGGGAAGGTTGGTCATGTTGAAGCTGACCTTAAAGAAGGGAAGTATCAAACAAATAAAAAATAGAGGGATTCTCTGAGACGATCCCCTCTTAATGTCTTGGAAATAACCCTCAGAGATTTGGAAAGAGACAACTTCCAAAAAATACATCCCCAGTTTTAAACAAGACCACTTACATGAAGTGACAGGATGCTTCAAGAGATGTGTGTACTTCCAGGAAGATCACAAAGAGACCTGTATGTATTCTGCAAAGTGGCTAGATTGTTTGTTGTTGTGGTGTGTGTGTGTATATGTGTGTGTGTGTGTGTTTGTAATATTAAAGGGAACAGTCTAGTTTTTGGAGATTAAATTTAGACTTTTTAAAAATTTAAAATGAGGAAGAAGATGGGGGGGGGGGGGAATTCACTTAACATGAGTAGACATATTTTAAAATTTTCAGTAACATTCTCCTCTAGCTTTAAGAACCCCAAACATAATGACAATATTATGCTAGTACCAGTGCTAGAGAAAATAGACTGATCAGTTTTAGTGTGTGTTTTTAATCAGTTTAACTTCCTAGTAGGTAAGAAACAGTAAGTGAAATTAATTAGAATATATAGCAAAAATGACCAAGGTCCAAATTACTGTCCAAGGTGAGTGAAATTTTACAAAAAAGGTTAAAAAAAGGCATCTGATGAAAACTAAATTTAATATTTTCAAATTATTTTGCAGCTTTAATATGCCGTGATGTTTTAGTAATACAGGGAAGAACATGCTTTTTTGAAATAGGTCTTATCTATGCACAGTAGTTTTGAATGTAGACAAGTTAAAGCTCCTGTAATTAACTGGGGACACTACAACCTCTACAGAAAGGGAAGCATAATGGGATGTGCATCTAAGTTTCCTCTCACCTGTGCAGTTGGCTATCAAGTGCCATGCAGGAGGGGAAAGGCGCCCCGGCCTGGTCTGGACCCGCTGGAGCTGCCATGGCCAGGGAGAGGCACCTCTCGCCTGGCCCCGAGCTGCTGTGATGAGAGAGGGCTGGGGGAGTCCTCTCTCCCTGCCTCAGCCCTGGGGCAGCGTGCACCCCAAACTCCTCATTCCTGGCCCCACTCTGGAGCCCTCACCCCCCCACACACACACCCCAACCCTCTGCCCCAGCCCTGAGCCCCCTCCCGAGCTCCTCATCCCTAGCCTCACCCCAGAGCCTTCATCCCCAGCTGGAGCCCTCACCTCCCCACACCCCAACTCTCTGCCCCAGCCCTGAGCCCCCTCCCACACGCCAAACCCCTCGGCCCCACCCCCGCCACACATCACTTCCATATTGGCGCACATAACAAAATTCATTCCACACGTGCATGTAAAAAATTAGAGGGCATACTGGTGTGCTACGTGTATATATATGGATATAGATATAGAGTGTGTGTTTGTGTGTGTATATATACACAGACATACACTCTATATCTATATACACAGACATACATATACAGAGAGAGAGAGACCTTCTCATTCTTGGCAGCCATTTGTGATGTAAGAAAACCCATTCCATTATAACCATCAGTAATTCATTGACCAGCATATAAGCCCATTTAACTATTTTCACCTTTAATTTATTTTAGTATGAAAAGCTTTGTGCTGATAATACTAAAGACAGATGCTGAGTATGAGCCAATACTGGCAATTAGTAAATCAGCTTGGTATCTATCAGAGAACTCTACCAAACAGTCCTCAAAGAACAGGTAGAGACATAAGAGATGATCGGTCTGTGACAAGGTGATTTACACTTTTAAATGAATGCTGTATTTTATTTCCTCCCTCCCCTTTCTGTATGCTGATTAAGGTCATACAGTGGAGGCTAGCTGTGCTCTACAGACAGTAACCTAAGGCAGCAAAATATAAGGGACAGTAGACTATTCAGTAACTGTGGTTCAACGTCTTAATAGTTGAAGTGT